ATAATGTTTCTCTTTTATTTTCACAGAAACCTTATTTCTGGTTGTCACTTGTTATTTATACTGAACAAAACGTGTGAAACTTTATCCTTTTTATACATAACATTTTTTATACTAAAGTTGGAATTTTAACTTTATTAATAGTTATAGTAACTGAGATTCATATATAACTAACTTGTAACCATGTTTTGGTTTAATTACGGGGTTTTGGAGTTAGGAGACTCTGGTGGAGGTCCATAAGAGTACGTTTAAAATTCACCAGCGTCCAAACTGACAATCATTATATTTTTTGGATTGTTCGTTTAAATAGTACATTAATTTTTGAAAATTAATAAAAATTAAAATTGGCAAAACAAGCGAATGGACAATGGATTAAATATATATATATATATATATATATATATATATATAAATGATATATATATATATATATATATATATATATATATGATCTATTTTTTATTTAAATGTTGATAAATGTATAGTAAATAATGTTGTTATTGTATATGTTTCTTTGTTTTTTGTTTATTTATCTATCTATGACAGTTCTTTTCAATGTTTTAGTTACATGAATGAGTGAATCGTTAACAATAACGAGAGAGCTCTATTATCTAAATATTATTTATTATTTATTTTTCAATCAAAATTTATTATATATATCATAAATCTTTGGATATAAATTGAATTTTAATTTTTATTCTCACACACACACAAACATAGTGTTTTATTTGTGTATGTATGTGTGTGTATGTGTGCGCGTGTGTGTCTGTCCGTCTATGTATGCGTGTGGTTACAAATTTGTGAAGCTTCAATAGAATCGATACCATTATTTGCACAACATGTTGTCAGATCATCATTAAAAAAATGTATCATCAAATGCAACAAGCGTACATTTGCCGACCCAAAACAGCCACTCATACACTGAGCTGCAGACATTTTTTTAAATTGCTCATTTATTTGACAAATACAAGCACATGCAAACACACAGAGACACACGCACAAACAAAACCCTTGTTCTTAAAAAATTAGCCATATCCGAAGAAATTGAAAATAAATTGTCAACAATTATAAGAGCAGACACCTGACTGAGAAACATACTGAGATAAATAAAATTGAACACAGAAAACGAACGAACGAACGAGCAAACGAACACCTAAATACGAACGAACCCAAACAATAAAACACATGTGAATTATTTCTCAGTAACGGAGGAAAGGAGAACGAATTTCACGTTAAACACTCAGCTAAACGTCACACTTTCACTAAATAAGTACTCCACTATGTGACATTTGCACTAATCATATATGAAGTAGTAGCGTTAGTAATAGGAGAAGTAGAAACAGCAGTAATATAAAAAGTTGTGTTATTATTATTATTGTTGTTGTTATAATAATTTTCATAATAAAAACAATATTATGAACGTGGACACCGAATAACTTATTATTATTATTGTTGTTATTTCTATTTCATTTACTATTTCATTTACTATTTCATTTACTATTGTTTTTTCTTCATTTTTCATTCTTCTCTTTGTTTTATTAACCATTTTAATCTATCGATTTTATTATTATTCTTACTATTACGGTGACCAATTTTATTCATGTATCAATAATTAAAGTTATTGCAAACAATGTTTTTGGTTGTCCATTGGCTATCTTTATTATTATTATTATAATTATTTTTAGAAAATAACATTAAAATAAAAAAATTGACGATAACAATAATAATAATTGCAATAATAATAAGAATAATAATTATAATTAATAATAATATTTTTGTTGTTGTGAGACGTGGATGGTAGATGCTCACGCGAATATAGGCGTTGATTTTGAGAAAGATCGATTTGACTTTTTATATTCATTGAAAACATCACGAGAATTATTATTATTATTACTATTATTATTGTTGTTGTTGTTATTATGAAAATTCTGTTGACGTATTTTTTACGATGATATTCATGTTATTAATGTTGAGAGTAATGAAATGTCTTGCTGTTGATGTTATGGTATAGATTGCTAACTCGTATTTGATAATTTCTATTACAGTTGTTTCAAAAAATTAGAGGTTTTTGCATCACATAAGAGAGAAAAATTTTTTTTTCATATCTACAATATGCCAACAGTAATGCTTCAAGCGCGATCCAGCAACAATTAGGCAAGCTTTTAATGTTATTGATTGATGTTGAATGATGATTGAAACTCTTATTGCATCAGTTATTTCGTTCACTTTCGTTGAATGCAACTTTTTAGAATAAGAATTTAAAACATAAGTGCCTACATTTTATTCGAGTTTACATAAACACAGGTCCTTAAATAACTCAATCGTATAGGTTGCTTGTACATTGAAATTTTAAAAATCTCTTAAAAAATATATAGGTTTTTATGATTAATTTTTAAATGGTTGTCAACTTATAATAAAAATAATGTCAAACCAGTCTAAGTAAGAATATATTTTCGTTTAAAAAAATTATTTTCGAAATGAATTTTTCATGTCAAGTTTATAGCGACTAATATTAAAATGTTTACATTTGAAACCATAATTTAATCTCAAATAAGATATAGAAAGAGCTGGGCACGAAAGAGGATTAGTCAAGAGAGGGAGAGAGACAGAACTCTCATTATTGTATTAAGACACTTGTTCGTTTGTTCAGCAAACATGCACCATTTTATTTTCCCACAATACGTCTTCTATGTGAGACTTTTCATTAGAGATTCGTTCAAGCTGCGCGTGTTTGTATATTACAAATACATTTTAATGTCGTTATCAAAGAATTATTGTATTGTTATACCAACAATACCCTGTTAATTATTTACAATGCAACAATGCAAACCTTCAGAAAAGTGGCAGAACAAATGCAGACAACACAAATGCGTCAGATTGAAAATGATTTTTATTTGAAAGTTTTATTTTTTTGTTTTTCGGTGCTTAACTGATAGAAAAATTATTATTTTGACATTATGTTCTTTTTCTCTCTCTCTTTCTCTTCTCTTTCTTTCATTTCTTTTTCTTACACAATAAAAAAGACATACACACTAACATACACAAACACACACTTATACACATACACTAAACTATACAATAATATATAAAATGCATGTTTTATATACAGAAAACATAAACAGAAAATAAAACAATAAAGCATAATACAAAAATATTTTTATATTTGGATGCTCATAAAGGCTTTATTACATGCATACAAGCATGTTTTTTGTATGTGTGGGAGTTAGTAGCATACTTTTGTTTGTTTGTATTCCGGTTTCTATAGGAACGACATTATTCATCATACATACATACATACATACATACGCATGCGTGCGTGAAAAAATACAATGAAGCAGACAATATATTTGGAGTTATTGATTGCAAGGAATTGACTTTTTTCCTGATTTTTCGTGGGAACGGTTTAAGGGTGAATTTTTATTCTATATATACATTTTTGGGAAAAAAAGAAAAAGATAGAAAAAGAGAGAAATAAAGAGAGAGAGAGAGAGAGAGAGAGAGAGAGAGAGAGAGAGTGATATTTCATTATATTAATTAAGCTTATTATTTTTTCTTTTTTTCGTTCCCTCTTTCTGTCTTTATTTATTTATTCAAAATTAATTCCATATAATATTAACATCCAATTATATATTACAAACAAAAAGGATTTGCCATGCGATTAGCCAACATTAAATCCTCGTAATTATACACTGGTATATTTAATATGAATATTTTATAACATTAGCTAATTATTATCTTTGCTATAATATTATTTTACGTGAAATGAATTGGGCACTGATGTATTATTAGCACGCTAATATGGTAATAAATATTATTATTATATTGTCGGTACAATTTGATGTTCGTATTCTTGTATGTTTGTGTGTGTGTGTGTTTGGCGTGTAGTGTGTTTGTATGTTTGAGTATGTGTGTGTGTTGGTTTTTTATCGCATGTGTGTGTAAGTGCTGTATTTGGTGGTGTATGTCTGTAATTTTTTAGTTATTTTCTTAGTTTACGAAAAATAATATTGTACATAATTTTAGCAATTAAAATAGTAAATATATGTAAGTACATAATTTTTGTATCCTTCATATTTTACTACAATTCTATTTTTACATTGATTAATTCTTTGTATGTGTATGTAGATATTTATTCTTTGTATGTAGATGTAGATGTATGTATGTATGTTTATACCTCTGTACAAATGTTTGTGTATATGAATGGTTCTAAAATATAATCTGTATCTACATTGAACACTTTGCAGATGCAAAACTATTATATGTATATATTTATTTTCATGTTTATTTTTTATGTGTGATGAATAAGAAGTTGTGTGTGTGATAACGCATAATAAATATCTTGTGGTAAGGGAAAATGAACTAATGATACCATATTCTCATAAAGAATACTTTCTCACAGTTTTAAAATCACATACATACCTTAGTAACATTTTTTCAACACACACACACACACACACATTCACTCACACACACACATGCCATACACACACAATCACTCACACACACACTCACACACACACGTACATTTACTCACACACACACTTGTATACACTTACACACCTGATTATGTGTATACACTTCTTGACACTAAAAATATAAATTAGGTTTTTGTCTCAATATTAAATATTTTATTAAACTCTTTTACGTCTGGTGTACTTGCGCCAAGAAATACTTTTTTAAATAGTTCAAAAATAATTGTTATAATTTGTTTTGTTATTTCTTGAAGAAAAATAATAGGAACAATGAAAAAATGAAGCCAATAGAGGAATAATTAATACTTAATAATAAATAACGTTCATGTCTCTATTGACACGACAACAACAACAACAACAACAACAACAACAAACAAATTAACAACAACAAAGTCAACAATAAAAACAACGACAACAAAAAAAATCAACAACAACAAAATCAACAACAACAAAAACAACAGATAATAATGACGTAGAAGACAATCGATGTTCCACCGGTCACGTGATTACATGACGTCGTATCGTCACGTGATGCGATGCCTCGTCGTCATCGTCGTCGTCGTCGTTCTTAACAGCTGCTATGGTAAGCTAATTGGTGGTGGTGGTGATGATGATGGTGGTGAAAACAATACTAATGATGATTATAACGATGATGATGAAATGTGGAGAGGATATGGTGATGATGTCATAGATGAGGTTGATAAGGATTGTCATGAGGACAACCATGATTGTGACAAAAAGTAAAGCCGTTTTGATGGTGGCTGAATGTGATAATAATGTTGTTGATGACGAATGCGATGATAAGAACGCAACTGATGATGAATAAATAAAATTAGGATTTGTAACAAAGTTGATGAAGATGATTTTCATTCTGGTTATAATAATGACAAGCCAACAAACAAACAAACAAACAAACAAACAAACAAACAAACAAACAAACAAACAAACAAACAAACAAACAAACAAACAAACAAACAAACAAACAAACAAACAAACAAACAAACAAACAAACAAACAAACAAACAAACAAACAAACAAACAAACAAACAAACAGTGCAATGCAACGTAGCTCCAGAGTTCGTCGACTTACCTACAGTAATTTATCTACCTGATTCAGCAGCAATCGGTATGAATTTATATAATTTTTCTATATATAATTGTATTTGAGTGTGTATGTATCTATATATGAATGTATGTATATTTGTATGTTTGTATCTTTGTTTGTATACAAGTTTGTTTGTCCTATGGTATGTATATGGGCTTATGTTAATGACAACAGTGGTGCAAACCGATAAACAATTTTTTTTATAGTTGATTGAAAATTGTTGTTGTCGTAACTATTAATTTTCATTAATATACATAATTATTATCATCATCATTATCATCATCATCATCATAATCAAAATCATCATCATCACCATCATCATCATCACCATCATCATCATCGTCGTCGTCGTCGTCGTCATCATCATCATAATAATGAAATATTTGTCTAGACATGATATCATTTGATGATGTTGATGCACCCGCATCTGCTGCCATCATCATTCAGGCATGAAATTAACAAATAAACGTATGGACAACTAAAACGTTCGATTTATTTATTAGATACTATTGTACATCATTGGAATATTTTTTACAAAGTTTTTCAAAGAGGCGCTAATCAATCATGAAAAGAAATACAAACAAATAAATTTGTTTTTGTTTGTGTGTTGGTGTGTGTGTGTGTGTGTGTGTGTGTGTACGTCCACTGTCATGAGCTTGTTGGGCCCATTAATTTTACAGCGCCCCATAAATTCCGATAAATATTTGCTCACGTATATATATATATATATATATTTATATACATTTAGGATGATTGTTATATATATATAATAATATAATGTACACAAAAGCAAACGAACACACATACAAAAACCAACGAACACACGTATCAATCTGATTTTGCTTTTTCTGGTCCTTTTCTCTGGAACTCTCTACCTACTTCTCTGACTACTTCTCCATCACTTGCGAAGTTCAGAGCGGATCTCAAGACCCATCTGTTTTCAAAATTCATTGAGGAGCGCTGTTGAACATCGCGGAAATAGCGCTTTATAAGCTAATTGATTGATTGATTGATTGAAGAAACAAACAAACAAACTAACAAAAAGACAAACAAACTAACAAAAAGACAAACAAACTAATAAAAAGACAAACAAACATTCAAACTCAAACACTCCCACAGGCACCGTTGTGGTAACGTTGAAGGCAGTGGATTTAGACGACACCACATTAACATTTTCTGTTGCTATTGACGACGGCGACATAATCAACAACAACATCAACAACAACAACAACGATATTTTTAAAATCAACCAAATAAGCGGTCAGACAGCTCAGGTCCTGTTGAATGGACAGCTTAATAGAAGTGTAAGTTATCCATCTTCTGTTGTTTCATCATCGTCTTTATCCTCATCAACACCAACTACATTTTTAACATTACTATCATCGTCTACTGATTGATGAAACGCACATTTTAATTTTGATTTAAATTGCATTTATTTCTTGATATCAAATCAGATTACAAGTCAATACAAAGTTATCTTTTCCGTGAAAGATTCGATCAACGTTCCAGTAAGTTACACTGACATTTAATAAATTGTTTTAAGTTATTTATGAAAAATCCATCCATCCATCCATTCGTCCGTCCGTCCGTCCGTCCATCCGTCCATTCCTCCAACTTTCAACTTCCAAATATTGTTCTCAATTACGTTCATACGAATTCCATGAAATCATTTTATTTCACCAATCAACAGTTTTTAAAAGTTAAAACTTTTTGGATGAAAAATATTTTTTCTGATCGATTGAGTAAAATATTTAGTATGAATATGAATATTCACTCTGAATGAAACTGTTGAATTAATTTTCAGATCAGCCAGCCATGCGTAATTGTGATCATCAGTTCGTCCTTCAAACCACCGTCACTCAATAACCTTCCCAGCACTATCAACGTTTCAGAGGTTTCCTGCTTACCAAAAAAAAAATAAAATAATACTTTTTACCAGTTTATTGACTTCTGTGTTGCTTCCGTACCGTCACTTACGTCATAATTTCATCGTCATCGTCATGTTAATGTTAGATCAGTTAATGAAAAGTTTAAATGATCGTGGATGTTGTCATCGTTTTTATCATCATCATCATCATCATCATCATCATCATAATCATCATCATCATCATCATCATCATCATCATCATCATCATCATCATCATCATCAAAATCATTATTTTCATCATCATCATCGGCGTCGTCGTCGTCATAATCCTCCTCATCATCATCAAAAACAACAACAGCAATCTTATCAACATCTTCTTCTTCTTCATTACCATGATCTTTACTTAAATCCTCATCATCGTTATCATCATCATCAGTATCATCATCATCTTTATCATCATCGTTATTATCACGGTCAGGATGCCATAAATGGCACGGAAGTGTTCAGAGTTGTTGCAGCCGACTCGCTGAGTGTCGTCACATTCAAATTAGAGGTGATGATGATGCTGATGATGATGATGAGTAATCATGGTGTAACGATGTGTTATGGAAATTATTATGAATAAGTATTCTCTGGCGTTAGAGTTGCTATTCTTTGATGATGATAATGATGACGATGATTAATGATAATGTTGACGATGACAATTGATAAAAATAAATAAAAGTTAATATTTTAATAATTTTCAGCATTCTTATTACAACATTTCAAACATTTTCATTCAGTTGTTGTTTGATCATAGTAGTCATTATGCCTTGAAGTTCTCAAAATCACTACTGAAATTTCAATCATAACTTTCAGTATCATCATCTAATCATCACAATCACGTATCATCATTTTGAAATGATCATTATCACAATTGTCATCATCTTCTCGTCACTGCCATCATCACCGTCACATCATCGCAAATATCGTTATCATCAACACTATCGACATCATCATCGTCATCATCATGGGCATTATCGTCGTCATCATCATAATTTTTGAGTGTGTAAACATTATTGGTTTTAATTAACTGTTTGTATTTTGCAGGAAATTTTTAATGTGGACTTTTATTGATTTTTGAGTTTGAGTTGAGCCTATCATTTTTATGCTACGTCATGCTATGTTATGTCATGTTATATCATGTTGTGTTATATCATGTTGTGTTGTATCATGTCATGTTATATCATGTTGTGTTGTATCATGTCATGTTATATCATGTTGTGTTGTATCATGTCATGTTATATCATGTTGTGTTGTATCATGTCATGTTATATCATGTTGTGTTGTATCATGTCATGTTATATCATGTCATGTCATGTTGTTATCACCCTCACCATCTTCAGCCATCCCAAGCTCCATTTCGAATCGACCAGCTGACTGGCTCGATAACACTTGTCGGGTTCTTGGACTTCCACCTCCAGAGGACGTATGTTATTACTGTTGTTGCTGCGGTAGGTAGTTGTTGAGGTTGTTGTAGTAGTTGTGGCTGTGGTTGTTGTAGTTGTTGTGGCTGTGGTTGTTGTAGTTGTTGGGGTTGTGGTTGTTTTATTTGTGCTTGTTGTAGTTGTTGTGGTTGTGGTTGTAGTTGTAGTTGTTGTGGTTGTGGTTGTTGTGGCTGTGATTGTTGTAGTTGTTGTGGCTGTGGTTGTCGTTGTGGGCTTGATCATTGTTGTATATATATTTTTAATTGTTGATGTTTTCTTCCTTTTAAAAAGATAATGATGTTGGTGTTAATCATTGTTTGTAGTGATTAACTGTGATGACAATTGAGTGATGACAATAACTTCAAATGGACTTTAACATTTTCAAATCTATGTTGAAACCCTGATCTGAATTGAACAACAGAACAAGAAGGGCGCTAACACGTCGGCCACACTGACCATCAACATCACCAGCAACAGAAACAAACCACCATATTTCTTAGTGCCTCGGTATTTCTCTTCAATACTTGAGAATACGCCAACGGTATTCGTTTGCTTGTTTTCGTTTGTTTGCTTGTACGTTCGTTTGCTTTTTTGTTCATTGATGCACTGGTGGTTGTTTGTTGATGTTGCTATGTGAATTGTTGTTTGAATGGTTTAATATTTTTATGAGACCGAAACAGTTGAACTGTTGTAATTTTCTTGTTGGTGACTTTTTTCAAAAAATGGTGAATATATTTTGTTAGTGACTTTTTTCAAAAAATGGTGAACATATTTTGTTAGTGACTTTTTTCAAAAAATTGTGAATATTTTTTGCTAGTAGTTATTTGAACAACGATGGTGAAAATATACATTACCGAATACTCCAGGGAACGATGGTGTTGAAAATCCAGGCGTATGATGGCAACACCGACTTGTCTGTTGGTATTCGATACCAAATATTACAACGAAAGCCACCGCTACAACAACAAATTTTCCAACCACAACCGCCACAGCCGCTACTTTCCCAACAACAACAACAACAGCAACAACTCACAAACGATATTTTCACTATTGACGAAAAAACCGGCTCGATTCAAACAAGTCGGTTATTCGATTGCTCGGAACTGTATCTCCGATGGACGAACTGCATGTACGATATTTTGATCGAAGCATGTAGCAGCAGCCCTACAAGAAGCCAGGGCTCCAACTGCAGCACCACCCTGGCCACAGTGGCCGTATCTGACCTCAACAATCACGCTCCGGTTTTTTCCTCCGCAAAATATCGATGTTTTGTAAATAGGTACGTTAGTGAGGACGGCGACGATGTTGTCAGTTGCGACCAGGAGATTTGGGTGACTGACGCAGATCTGGTCAGTTTATTTGCTTCGGAATTTATTAGACTCGTATTGGAATGTTGATAAATTTTTAGTTTTACTTTAATATCTTCAACATCATAATAAATATCTTCTTCATTGAAGAAGTTTGATAATGTTTTAATAATAAAAAATGAAGGATCCTTAATTTACGATTTCAAAGATGAATCACTCGAGGTAAAGGTAATAAATAAAAATATCGCAGGAAGATAACGCCGAGTTTAGAATACAAATGCAAAACAATCTTAATACTGATTGGTCAGCTGCGTTTGAGATCAACATGACATCATCCAATCAGCTTCGGATCAAATCTAGGTCAACTTTAATAAACCTACCTGTGCAAACTGTGATACTACAGGTGTTGGTTTTTTTTTAAAAGATTTGTGAAAAATGTTTACTCAAATTTTTTCTGTACTCACCTCATTTGAATAAAATTTTTGAAAATTTAAAATATGCAAATGCTCAAGTGATTTTTGTGATTATTGCTCTAAAATAAGGATAGATGCATAGATGACGTTGAAGTTTCAAGTCTTACACGCGCACGCATTGAGTGTTATACCGATTTTGTTAACACATTTATCAATCAATCAACCAATCAATCAATTAATCAATCAACCATTCGATCAACCGATCAACCAATCAACCAATCAATCAACTAATTTTTAAGGCAACTGCTACAGAAACAAAGACAACAGAACATTTGTCATCAACAGCAACAATCATTATCAACATTGTCAACAACTACAACAACAACACCACACACCCTGCAACACCGTCAAATTTTATTTTCGAACTCGCGCGCTATGACGTCACAGTCGATTTGAATGCTTACGTCATCAACAGCACCATTCTCACGGTCAAGGTTAATTGATTGACATAATTTTTTCTATTATAAAACCTAATTACTTTTTAAATGAATTGATTGATATTCTTTTAATTTGGAATACTTTGTTAAGACCAAACTCATTGTTATAAATACAAAATAAACGTTTTTAATAATTTTTTAATAAAGTTGAAAAGAAGTTGGTAAATATTCAACAAAATTTTACAAAAATAAATTAATGTAAACCCGATTTTTGACACTATTTAATACATTTTTTCATCCAGGCGTACAGCAGCATTAGCAGCAGTCTGAACGTAATTTATGAAATCTTAGGACCATTTTCAAATACGTCAGTAAAAAATTAATTCGTTTTTTATTGGTTTTTACATTTATTAAAATTTAAAATATAATTTATTCATTTTGGAAAAAAATCGTTTGACTATAATTGCACAACAATGCTTTTAATTTTATTCACATTTTTATTTAATCGATAATTTTTTTATAGTTTTTCAATTGATGCGGTCAAAGGTCAAATCTCGATAGCCCGCCCCGATTTGCTGTCGCCTATAATTAGCAACAACGGGATTCCCGTCGTTGTTTTGATTGTCAGCGCTAAAAATAGAGACTCTCTCGTAAATTCATGCTCCTCATTGGTCGTCGTTCAAATCAAAAATAATGACGTCACTGGGCCGAGAATAGCATCCATTCAAGTCGGGAGTTACGTGGGTGTGATAGAGGAGCAGGGCAAACAATTTCTCTACCCCGTAGTTATAAGGGTTAGTTTTTTAAAAGTTAATTAATATAATATCGGTTGGGAATATGCCTTTGTTATAAAATTACTGAACTATGTAATAATAGCAATGACGATAATAATAATAATGATGATAATAATAATGATAATGACAACAATAAAAATGATGATAATAAAACACAATAATGATGCTAATAAAACTAGTGAGATCAATATTAACGATTATGAAGAAAGCCACCTTGAGTGAATGAAAGAACGAATGAATGAATTAACGAACGAATGTTTAAATGCATGAATGAGTGAATGCATGAAAGAACGAATGAACGAAAGAATGAGTATATATATGAATGATTGATTGAATGAATGAACGAATAAACGAATGGGTTAACATTTTGAAGTAAGAGCATTTTAGCACGCAGACACCAACAACATCAATAAAAAAACGTCAGATTGTTTGTAATGTGTATTCATTCCTCAATTGATTAAACGATAAACGTTTGCATTGTTTATATTACAACAGCCGCAGATGATCAGCGCTAACAACAACAACAACAACTACAATATCAACAACAACATCATCAACAACAACAACAATTTTACCTTCAACATCGTCAACAACAACATGTTTGCGAATAACTTCACAATCGATCAAGCTACTGGTCAATTCCTCGTAAAGTACCCTCTGGATTTTGAGGCAATCCCTCCTTACCTTAACGGCACGATAAACATCAGCGTTGAAGTGACCGCTGTCAAAAACTCGATGCAAGCCAAGGGTCTGGGCAGTGTTGTGGTCATCGTTAAGGTCAGCCACTGTTGTGTTTTTGTTTCATTTGGGACACAATGTATTGATATGTTTAACGAGACACGTTTGTTATGCTTAATGACATTAGAAATAAGGTTGACAGTGAAAAAAATGACGGTTTTTATGAGAAACAACTCGAAAAAGCTGTTATGAGTAGTTAGAGGAAAGGTTCAATAAGCGGATGAATGGATATATCGACTGGTGGAAGGATGGGTGGATTGTTAAAAATTGATTCACACGACACATCGATCTGTGTATGTTCTGAGTCGTCCGTTATTAAAATGGAAAGTTATCCGAATGAATAAACACGAAATGAATGAATGAATGAATAAAAGAATGAACAAACGAACGAACGAACGAATGAATGAATGAATGAATGAATGAATGAATGAACGAACGAACGAATGAATGAATGAATGAATGAATGAATAGATGGTTAAATGAATGAATGAATGAATGCATGAATGAACGATTATATGAATGGGTATGAATGATTAAAGAACAAATGACCGTACGAATAATAAATGAATCAATGCATGGATTGGCTAACGAATAAATCGCACCCATCTTCCGTCACGTGATTACAGGATGTGAATGACAGAATTCCCTCCTTTGTGCAGACTTCATACACGTTCGAACTGCAAGAACCAATCAAAAGAGGTATTCACTGTAATTGTTTAATTAAATAAATAATTTTATTTTAATAATAATTTAATGATAACTACTTATTTATTCAGTTGGAACAACCACATGTTTGCTAAAATGCTTACTTATATAATTATATTTTATTTCAATTAGAATTTTTATTATTTTCAAACAAGCTTAATTACAAAAAGTTAGCCAACATATATTGTTTAATTACCTTTCATCTTTATCCACTATACGTTGAAATGCACTGGTTTTATAGCAAATTTTAGGAGCAAATTTGACAAAAAATTTGCGATAAGCAAAAAGAAATTTTGTTATCATTTTTCTTCATAGGATATTTTCAGTTTTAACCTTTCCGACCCTCGTCAAATTTGTCTGTATTCGGCGTTTCCTATGAGACGATCCAATGCTATAATTTCATAGCCATTAATTTGAGTTGTAACGCATTTCCATCATTGTCATCATTTGGCAGGTCTGATTGGCACGGTGAAAGCGTACGATGAGGACGGTACACAACCGAACAACATCGTTCATTACTCTCTTTCATCATCATCGTCATCATCATCATCATTCTTTGTTGATGATTTTGTTGTAAATCAACTTACTGGATCTATTTATTATTTTGGTTGGACATCATCATCATCATCATCATCATCGTCGTCGTCATTCTCGTCAGCATCATCATCACAACCGACAACAACAAAAACTTTGTACGTCACGGCAACGGATCTCGGCACACCCGGTCAATCCACAATGACAACTGTTGTCATCAAATATCCATCAATCAACAGCACAACATCAACAACAACAATATGCAACAACTTCAACAACATTAACGATAATATCATTTTCGATCAAATTTTTATGTTTAATTTGAATCACGTGATTGATATTTCAAACGTTGTAAACATCTATATACAGCAGCAGCAGCAGCAACAACAACAAATATTCAGTAATGCCATATTTAACTGTTCACTGACGAGCATCCATCTTTACGACGCCAACGGCAACATTGTTGAGAAACCTCAAAGTTGGAATTTATTTGTGGCTAAGAACTGCAAAAGTATTGAAGTTAACTTTCCACAAAATGATCCAGAGATCTATCGAATAAAATTTATAGTATCGCATTTAACCCTTACTAGTTCAGCGGTTCGAAACTCTTTGAATATTACGTCTACCGACATCAACAACGTCAATACTGGTAGCATACTCAGCAGTTGTGGTGGTAGTAGTGGTGGAGGTTGCAGCGTCTGCTGCGATTGCAACAACATTTCAACGTCTTCGAGGGATATTGGTAAACAGTTTTTGTTTAGTTTTTTCATTTCTGTTAGTTTAATTCTATGAAGACTTGTTACTCATTACTTTATGCAGTTTGAAGTTATTTGAAAAAAATTGCAACAATTTTTTAGAGATTTAATGTTTTGAAAGCAGCTAAAAATATTTCATCGGACAGGTTCGCATGATACGATTTATAACAATTGAACATATTATAAAGTATGCCTATATAACAATATGTTGAACCGTAGCATTAATGAGAATTGAACTTACAATTTTTAGCAGAATTTAAAAGCATTTAATATAATTGAATAAACTCAAAATAATATTCGAAGCTGATAAGTAAAATATTCATTTTCAATAAAATATGTATTTTTGTTTATGTTGAAGAAATCTTTTGTATATTTTAATCATTAGCTCTGGTCATATTGGAGTTGTCTCTGCCAACTACCCCACCACCAGCATCCTCACTCCCTACACCACCCACCAACACCAAAAACAACAACAACAACAACAACAACTTAATCTTTCTTCCTCCAAACATCAACGTGGCAGTGATCAACATGAGCGCCTCACTACCGAACAACACGTTTGTCGCCAGGATGGTCGCCACAAACCTCTTGGACGTCAACATCCCAGTCTATTATGACATTTTTGATGCCGCAGCCACTAACGGTGGCAGCGGTACCAGCAGCAAACTTATCAGCAACGATGGTAGTAATACTATTTATAATAGTAGCAACTACGCTGGTGTTTATGATAGTATTTCGGCCTCTTCATATTTCAAAATTAATCAAAATACAGGCATCATCTACCTCATAAAGGAAATTCCGAAAGATATAAATAGAATTTCCTTTTCGATCCGCGCTTATTCAATACTTAATGGAGGTGCGGTTATTGAGAACAAATCAAATTTCCTAGTGAACATGGTCGAGCCGATGTCTCCTTCGTTGCCGTCTTCATCATCGTCGTCTTCAAATTCAAAGTTGTTGACTGATGCAGTGATAGCGCTAGGAGTGGTGTGCGGATTGCTGGTGGTGCTTCTATGCCTCCTTTTGGTCTTCATCTGCTATAAAAGAAGGTTAGTCGGATTAATGAACCGCGGTCGGTCGGTTGGTTGGTTGGAGAGTTGGTTGGTCGATTGGTTGGTTGATTGGTTGGTTGGTTGGTTGGTTGGTTGGAAAGATGGTTGATCAGTTGGTTGGTTGTTGTGTTGATTGGGTAGTTATATGTAAATGTAATAGAATGTTTTTGTAGGCAGTTTTGGTCAACATTTGGTCATTTTATTTGTTTCATTTGCTAAAATAGTTAACAAATTGTGTGAACAATCAACTTATTTAATAAAATAACTTTTCTCATTTTGGTTACAAATGCAGACGCGATGAAAAAGTAAAAGAAGCAAAACTCATGAGAAATGGGAGAACGTCGTGTAAGTTAAGAAAATAATTTTATTATAAATTTCTTCTATTATTTTAGTTAATCATTTGAAAACTGAAAATGAAAATATTGATGAAAAATATCTCTTTAATGAAGATTCCAGTGGACTTAGAACGAGCACCTTTACATCACAGGCAGCAATCAGCAACCATCAGTACGAACAAAGCATTGACTACAACAAACACAACAACATCAACAACAGCGGCAACACCAACAACAACAATAACAACAACATCAACAATGAAGATGATGAATGCAACACTAACAATTCAGACGCGTCAGAAACAACAATCAGTTCAAGCCAACAATTTTTTCAGCAAAAGCAAAATCAACGTCAAATCAGCCAATCACAAAGTCACATATATGACAGCATTGAACCATTAACTTCAACTAACACCACCACCAACAACAACAATAATAATAATAACAACAATTTTTTAAGCAACACTAGCAAAAACATTACCCTCGACAATTCAAATCAACTGTATAAACAATCTTTGTACAGGCGAAATACAAACGAACCACGTCAGTACGTTCCTGCATCTTTTAAGTTAATCAACACTTCAACTGACAATAATATTAACTCGTCGAACCATTCTTATAAATCGCATTTATCCGACTCTGCAATCGGTAGCTCCGATGCCATCACCTCAGTTCCAACCAACGATGATTACAACGGAAGAGATGCGTCAAACCGGTTAATTTCGACTAACATTCCAAATAGTTACACATCTTCAACGTATAACAATAAAAGCGTCGCAAACACTAATCGGATCGGTAACTCGACAGTGGCACTGAACGGGGTCACTACGATGCCAGATCTAACGAAAAAGTATTCGAGTCAACAATACCTATCCAACCCTGGGGACGCCTTGTACAGTGAAGTGAATAAAAATAGAAATTCAGAAGTTAAGTCCAACCATGTTAATAATAACCCGTATGTCATTAGTCATATAGTGGATGATGGTGAAATTTGTGATAATGTTGAAGATGGTGCTCGTCCCAGTGATGTGCGAATAATTAAAATGAATCAAGTAGATCTGAAAAGAAACTATCACAATGGCGGTTCTTTAACAAACGATACCTCATCAAAGGCTGTTAACTCCAAAGCTTATAATAACAACAACAATAATAATAATAGTGGTAATAATAAATTGCTTTTAAATAATGTAAACATTAACACTAAAAATATTGCAAAAGTTCCTCGCATAAACCTGAAGGTTGAAGAGGAGGAATGCTCTTTCTACATTTGAAGATTACTTCTTATGAAAATTTTGGTTTATTGATAGGTTCAAGTGGTAATAAATATGGTTTAAATAGTAATGAAAAACAATAAAAATAGTAAAAATATTAGTAATAGGATCGTCAACTTATATTTAAATGGAAAACAAAACGAACAAAACATCAACATAATTTAACATAGAATTTTTTTTAGTCTATTTATGCTTGATAGCGATAGTTTCAGAGAGAAATATTATTTATTTAAAAAAGTATTCCTGCGAAAGTTTAAAGTGATACGTGAGAAAAGCATAAAACTCAAATTTGGAGACATTAAGAGACATTAAATTATAAGTAACTTACTTATTATAACTTACTTACTTACCTGTTAAATCAGGGGGAAGGCAAACTATGGCCCGCGAGACCTTGATCGTCAGTCAGACATTCTGACCAAAAAAAGGAGCCACAAATCTTAAAAAAATTCTACCCCGGGTCGAAAAAGTTTGCTATTTAAGTACATATGCGGCCTTTCAATAGGTAAAATAGTTCTCAATGCGGCCCTCACAGCAAAAAGTTTGCCCATTTCCATGTTAAATAATATTGTTACTTGTCGGAGTATATCAGAAAAATTTTTGCGTCTAAAAAATTCTGTGTAAAAACAATTTCAAATGTACTATATATGTGTGATATATTTAACTGCTGTCGTTTTTTAATAATTCTGAAAAGAATTTTTTTAATTTGAAAGCATTGTTAAAATAATTAAATAAGTTTGTGATAAATGATTGTAAAATCTTGTTTAAGAGAATTAATTAAATCATTGTAATTGTTGTATTTTCTAGTTATAATTTGTATATTATTTTTCAAGGTTTTTTGTAATGATAAATTTTTTTATGCTTTTTGAAAAAAAACTCAACAGACAAGATTATGCCCTTAACTTAAATTTTCTAAACTATTTCAAAAATATTATTGACGTAAACGGTCAAAATTTTTGTTTTCTAAATTTATAATTTTTGTTTTTGTGAAATAAGTTAAATTAAAACAAATAGAAATGTCAGAATACTTTTCATAATTACATTTCATTTTAAGAAAAAATTTAATGTAATTTGGATCAAATAATTAGCAATATTTTCTATTTATTCATTTTTGTAAGTGAATTTAAAAAGTTTTCTTTTTCTAAGTTCAAAAGAATAATGCTTAAAAGTTTTCTATGGCTAATTATTCTCTTAGCTTGTTATGACACATTTGAATTCAATCTGTTAAAATAAAATATGTTTTAAATAATTAAATTAAATTAATTGATAACTTAAGAAAATAAGTTAGACTATAATTGCAAACAAAGTACATATGCTATTAAAATGAATCGACCACTTAAAATATTTCAAAGATAACAGTTTTTTTCTATAGCTACTAATCCAGCATCTCTGACATCCGTAGTTGGGCATACATTGGCGGAACATCCAACATCGGTTGTGTCGGCCCATAGCATCTACATCATTTATTTTTCACATTTTTGTAATTTTTAAAAATTTTCAAAAATAAATAAATAAATGAAAAAGTAAGAGCCTGAAGGTAGTTATCACAATAGTCCTTGCGTGTGTTTGTTGCAAAGTCATAATTTTTGTACTGCATGACCGAACTGTTGTAAGCTGAAGTGAAATCGGGGACAACAGCGTTATCGAAACTCTTCCACGGGAGCAAGTTTTGGCCGGTCTTGTCAGGGAATGGTGTTTAGGGTCTTACGGGCAGTCCGCGACTTAAATAACACTTGCTGACGATTCGGCCATGTCTGCTAAAACGCTGTTCCATTTCTGAAATGTTTGTTTATAATTTATTAAGATTTAAAAGTTTTAAAACCAATTTTAGTAATTAATTTTCAAGTTAAAAAACTGAGAACAAATTTCAAATATCACCAATGCTTTCATATTAGAGGCACCGACTTCTTTCCTCAAATCATTGTGGTACGACACAATTTTCGTTATCTCTTCTGCAGAAAGTACAGCATTTACGCCAAATTTAATTACTGAAAAACCTTCGAATACTGCAAGCAAAACGCTGGTCAAGAGTAAGAGTAAATGCGACATTCTGTCCATAATCTGGAAAAATTAAATTCAAATCTGTTAATTGAAAATTACGAAACAGTAATTCATTTAAGAATGTTGATAAAAAATGAATTTAACTTAATTATTCTGACTGGCTGGTAGTGTGTCAAGCATCAGTTGATTTGTTTTATAGATTAATGTACCGTAAACCAGTCCACACCAAATCGATAATAATTGCGTGATGTTTTCAAAAAATATTTTCAATTTTTTTTCAAAATAATGTATCGATTTTTATGAAACGGCGAGAGCTAGCACGGAGTATGAAAGATTGCACAATTAAATGAACGCACATAAACAGGCATACGCTCGCATTCTTAAGCATTTGATGCGATACAAACATGTTCGATTGTTATTGACGGAATATACTTTAAAGTAAGAATACATCATCTTTGTGAGGTTGTTTACTACTACCGTCTTGTTTTTTCTGTTCTTTATTGAACAATACGATCATGTAAAATTAAATAGTGCCAAAAATGTTATATTAATGTAATTTATAATAATTTCTTACGTATTACAAGACCGCGAAATTTTTTTCCAAACTGTTCTCCACGAAGTCTTCCAAATCTTAAAGTTGGCATGCCAAAAAACTTTAATTGATCCGAGTAACAAAGGCCTTTGCAATCACTGACCCCATTTTGGTTGCCCGTTTCTGAACCCTTGGACAACATGGACACAGCAGAACTGTGAAAAGAGCTTTGAATTTGGCCATAACGTGTGTTGAACCTTCTAAAAAAAGTTTATTAAAAAACACCATCAACACAAACACACACCACACACACACACACACCACACACACACACGCATACACACATGTATATATATATATATATAAATATACTCTTTGTGATGCGTGACAGAGTATTTTTTTAAAGTTGGCTTCTTTGTAGAAAATAGATTTCTATCATGAGAATCAATAAGTGAGAGGATAAAAAAAAGTTTCATCTTTAAAACAACTTTCACTACGATATGAAAAAAATGATAAACCACAAAAACTTTACATTACTCAAATAGCTTGTAAAATTACTTATATGGCAATTATTTTGAAACAGATAACGCTGTGATACGATTGAATGTTTTATTATTAAATTCATGAACATTATAGGTATTGTATATTATACGTTACGTTACCAAATATCTGTAGTGGTATATCAAGATGTTTCTATTAAAATAAATTTCAGCGTAAGCGTTACACTGTAAAAAAACACAAGCCTGTGTATTGAAATATAGAAAACTTAAAAAAATATTTCTGACAGAAACAACAACAACAGATATTTGTAACTTTTATTGAAAAATATTTCTCGCGTTCAGTCGATTACTTCTCTGAAAATGCCATTTGGCAATCTAACCCTAACCCTCACACATCTTCCTGCAACTCTCACAAAACAACCTGGACATTTACCTGCAGAATATTAGTTTTAATACTGCTGAATATTTTACATTTTGTTCACATAAATAGTATCACAAGTTTCGTTATGTAAATTGGCGTATAATAATTATAAATCATGCAAGATCACCTTCGATAATCTGGACAACATGGAAACACAGCAGAACTGAGAGAAGAACTTTGAATTGGGCCATCATACGTGCGTTGAATCTTCTAAGAAGAGCTAAGTAACAAACACTATCAACACACACACTTATATATACCTAAATGAATGGATAAAAAATAAAGTTTTCAGGCAAACATTATTATGCAAAAGAAAATAAAACTGAATAATATAACATAATATCTCGAACAATTTCTCAAACCTAAGTTGGTTTGACACATTGTCAGTATTTTTTAATTTATATCACAATAACCATTTTGAGTTTTTCTTTTGGGCAAAAAAATTTACGAATTAAGAACAACATGTAGACCTCTACCCAAGTTTGATTGACACATTGTCAATATTAATATGTATATTTCTAATAAACTATTATTTAAAATATTTATTTCGTTTTGTACAAATTATTTACAACGTTTACAAAAGATGTTTTCAGTCATTATTCCCTAAGGGAGGCTCTAATCAACAATGGTAATGGTTTGTCTTTCAGGATCCTATGGAAAAACAGGAAAGACAGTAAGCCGCAATGATAGCCGAATTAAGAACCGTTTCTAGAGAAATGGCACGCAACGAAGCAAAACGCGTCCAAGTGACAATCGAGAAAAACACGAAAATAAAATTAATTAGCAAACTGGAGAAGCGAAAAATGTACTTGACTGAACCAGCAACGGCTAGACAAAGTCCGAACATTATCTCACCAGTTTATCCTTCCTTGGAATGATTTCGATGACGCGAAGAAAGGAAGTCGTAATCGTAATGATAAAGATGATAACGAGTACGACGATGTGGGTTTTGAAAATATTCCGAAAATTGGTCATTTTTAAAGACAGTCATTGTTGTATCAGTTGTGTAGTGTCCTTAGCAATTGCACTAATATAGAAAATGAAATTCACAATGAAAAAGTGATGATGATAATGGTAATGATGAAGAACAAACAGAAAATAGAACTGGTAGAATGAATGGATATATCGATTGGTGGAAGGATCTATTGCAGGTCAGCCCATTCGGCCATGACAATATTTTGCCACTGAAACAACGCTTAAAACTTTACAAAAAATTAAACAGAAACAATGCTATTACTACTATTAATTATAAATATTATTTTTTATAACTGAGTTCAGAATCGTCGAACCCAAAGCTGATGAGGTTGATTTTTCAATTGGCATTTTCATTGATGTATCTGTTATCTAAATTTAAACGATTTAGATCGCATATATCAGTACTATGCAAAAAATTTTTGGCCGAATTTACCTGTTCGTTATTTTTAATAGTCACCCATTATTAATACAACATTTATTTCGCAGAAGAGAGTTATGGGTATTTTCTTTTTCTCATAACTCAAAGATATCAAAGTCATCTATATTTATCTACTAGTTCAATATATGATGTTTATGTCATGAATCGCAGTTTTCAGCAACAGGTATATCATATGCGCGCGTAGATTTTTCATTATACTATAATACTAATAATATATATAATAATAACAGCAACAACTACAATAATTTTATATTAATAATACTTATATTTTTGTATGTGTTTATTAAAGAACGCTGACCGGCATATATAAATTTAATAAAAACATAATCAGTATTATTGAAATTGTAATAACACTCTCGACTTTACGAACATAAATATATAAATATAAATAATCAATTTTAATAGCTTAAGAGTTATTTCTAATTTAAGAAAATATGAGCAGTTATACATAGCTTTTTTTAATTCTTAAAAGCTTTTCTTGCATTTGTTTTGATGATGCATTTACGGAATTATAATATCTTTAAACAAAAATTGTGTGTATTAATAATTTCTCCTCGTTAACTCAAACTATGTAAGGACTGAAGGAAGATGGCAATTCATTGTTGCCGAAAAAAGCCTTTTCTCTATTTGTATCAATAATGTAACACCAAGGGCGGCGTGTTTGTTTGGAAGTCCCAATAAATTGACATCAATGAGTTCAGGGAAGGAAAAAGTAGGTAAAAAAGGACCAACTATACGTAACAAACTATCTCGAAAAACATTTATTCCAAATTGTGGCGTATGTTGAGATTCACCTTCAGAGTGTATGTTCGCTAGTCGCGACTAGTTACACGGTATAAAGTATTCAAGGTATGGCTGCTTTCTGATATACTTTTTATATACATTTTGACGGTCCATCCGAAACTGCTTTTTAATGAACACGTTTTATTGAAAAATAATGACGGCAATAAATTTACAGAATGTAAACTCATATATACGTTCGTGTATATATATATATATATATATATATATATATATACACCTTGTGTGTACATATGTACAGATATAACTGGATACCTACAATATGAAAATAAATATTTCGAGATTGTTACAAATATTCGCTAAGCAAAGCATATGCAGTAGGCGAAGTTCACTAACTGAAAAAAATCTGTAGCCAACCAACCAACCAACCAATACAAATTCATTTGTTTTTTTTTAATAATTTCGCTGTATAGAAATAATTCATAATAAGTGAATGTTATTGCAGTCAAAACAGTTTGTCATTTTCAAATCATTTAGAAATATTAAATTTACTACATTCGTCACATAAAATTTAGTTTGACAGCAAAATTAATACAAAAAAATTTGTTTACAAAATATTGAAAACTACAGCTGCATTATACAAAAAAATTAAAAAGAAAATAAATTGCAATGAAAACGAAATGAAGATGTCAACCAAAGCATGCATCCAGACCAACTACCTTCTGAGAGATTATTATTAAAACAAGCAAATAAATGGCTAGCCCAACATCCTTCAAAACACATTAGACGTTTATAAAATGTAAATCGATCTACTAATCATTTTGACTAATTCTAATATTAAAACCTAACTGTTGCTGATATGTTGTTGAATATACGAGAATAAAATGTTTCAACAAAATTTATTTTCAACCATGTATTCATTATCACTATCAGATTTTAACATCATTCCGCTGCATATTTAATATTCTAACTACATATTCCTCATGCATAAAACAATTTTTAAAAAACCAAAAAACATTCTAAAACTTAAGCATTTTAAACTCAGAAGAACATTTATATCCAGTTTCTAAACAAAAATCAGATTCTGAGCTGACAACAACTCAATGAATGAAGGCTGGTGTTTATAGTCTAGTAGCATACATAATGCTTCAATAAATTTGAAAATGACCATCATAACAAAGCAAAACTAACCAAACAAAAATATCCACAAAAATAAAAAAGACTCTTTTTATTTACATTCAAAGCCCGAATATCGGCTTGGAATGCACTGATCCAGCATATTTTAAACAAACTACAATATGCATTTTAAAAGTAAGAACATTTTATCTTTTCAAGAAATGGTCTCTTGGCTTGTGAGAAGTTGTTCATATTTAATCAGCATTAGACGTAGTCATTTAAACTAAAATTAATTAATTACCTGCTGTTATCAACTTTTCCACAGAGCAATTAAATTTTTAAAAACTTCGGCAATGAAAAAAGAATAATTTTGTACACATGACTGATATATCAAAAACTTAAAAGACATATTAAATGTTTCCAACTTATTAAATTAGAAAAACAATTATATAAAATACAGTTTTGTGCGTTTATTCCCTGTATTATAACGAATTACCAGTTCTAGAGACATTTTATTCATGAGATGAAAAAAAAGCTTTATTTAGAGCCGAAACTACAATCATCGTAACTGTTCAATGTGAATTGGTTAATGAAACAAAACATTGCTGATCATTCAGCGAATGAAATGGTCAATGAGTCAGTCCGCCAAAAGACGAAACAATTAACAAACAAGCAAATGAAATAGGTAAAAACAATCCTAACATAACTAACAAGATGACCAAACATTTAACCAATCAAACATCAATCATCCAATTGAGTAACTAAAAGTTCAAAGTTCAGGGTGTTCCAATGGATTGGTGGTAGACAGGTCCAAATCTCCTCATGTACTTGTTCACGTATTCTTTCGCCTTGAACTTCACATTGTCATTGACCTCCAAGTCCTCCATGTGTCTGCACTGCTTGAGCTCTTTGTTCAGGACAGCATGAGTCAGCTGTTGAATAAGTTCATATTATTAGCTAAAAAACTATTTCTCTAACAATATCAATCTATAATCATATCATATAATCATATCAACTAAGTAACGCTGAATACGTCCTTCATGTCATGTATTAATAAAAATATCAATCAATCAATCTTCGTTTACCGTCCAGAGACCCAGTTCCCCCGAGGTAGGACGTGAAAATATATATATATATATATTTTTACAATATTCTATAAATTGAATCATCGTCAGTGCTCCTTGTTGTATATATAGGGAAATATTGACTTTGTCAAGATTAACTTTGACGTTGACCAGCCA